TGCAAAGGGGCCTCTTCCTGCATATTTAATCTAGAGCAAGGCACCGGCTTTTGTTGTGTTTTGACCACATACCTCTAGTCCCTCTCAACGCTGCAGTCCTGGGCTCTGGTTCTCTCTCTCTCTCACACATACACATGCGAACACACTTAGCTACCACACACTACTTCAACTACTTCATACCTGCTACTTTCGCTGGCAGCTTTCTCCTCTTCTTCAGAAGTGGATTTCAAACACTCAGTGCTTGGAGGGAATCTGCATCAGTATACAGTTTCATAAACATGATGAAAGCCTGTTTAACTGTTCATGGGTAAGTCTGTAAAGATTTCATTATCTTTACACACATTCTCTAATCGTTTTTTTCCCCTTCTCCTCCTCCTCCTCTTCCTCTTCTTGCCTTTTGTGGGTGAATGTATGCTTGTGTCCATGCGGGTGTGTTTATGGGTGTGTTCTGCAAGCGACTGGCAGAGTTTGTGCAAAGAGTGTAGATACAAGTGGGTTTCTCTGAGTGGTAGCAGCAGTTCAACATGTCTAGTGTTTACGATGTAGTGTAATATTGCATTTTGGTGAATTAATTCAGTCTAATAAATCCAGATTTTAGCCACAGAGATGAAGTAAATTAACCATTTGGTTAGCTTGCTGATCAAAAATGCCATACCCAGCATCCTAAAATGTGAAAATGTGCTTATTTACTTTGTCTGATATGATGATGACCTTAGTGTGTTTGGGTTTTGTACAGTTAGATAGACAGAACAAGCAATTTAAAGACCTCGCCTTGCCATTTTTCGCCATTTTTCGCCATTTTCTTACATTTTAGACAAACTGTTTGCTTGACTAATCAAATAATGTTCAATACATCAAAAGATCATAAACATAATGGGTAGTTGCAGCCCTGCTTGTGTGTTTATGTGTGCAATTTGACAACAAAATGCATATAGTGCAAAAATGATATTAAATGTTAAGCTAAAGTTTGTTCATTGAAAGTGAACTTCAGCTACAGTATCTATAGTATGTCCTAAATAAATAAAAACCCACCCCTTTACTGTCCTGATGTGGGTGTGCATGCAAGAAGTCTAGGTGTGTGTGTGTGCGGCCTGTGTGTGAAACGGTGTGTACGGCTTGATGTGCGAAATGTTCCTTTGCTCCGTGCTGCAGGGTTGGAGGTGAGAGTAAGTGTTAACCTCATGGTGATGCGTGAGGGTATTAGTTCCTCCCCTCACTCATCGCATCTTGTTCTCCCTTTGTCTTTGTCTGGGGAAATGGAATCTGCAGCTTATTGATATTAATAGCGCACAGGATCTGTGGTTGGAGAGGAGCTGGGACCTGGGCGAGAGTGGAAACCTGATATGGCTGGGTAGAATTGACAGTCCTACTTGACAGGGTGGAGAGGGGTAGGTTATAAAAATAGGATTGCATAATGTTCACTGTGCGTTAGCCCTTTGTGCGCTGTGCTGTACGGGCAGGATCAACTTTTTTTGAGTTAATGTCATATGTTAAGGTGAGGCTGCTGCCCCGCTTGTAACTTCTCAGCTGACAGAGAAAAAAAAATCACAATTTACTGATGGTTTCCCTCATGGATCAATAGAGTTCCTAGAGAATTCACTCATTTTGTATTCAGTGAGCTCATTTAAATACTGTTAAAGAAATGCGTGGCCTTGTTTGTTTTGGGTTAAGAGTGAAATTCCACTTCTGTGGTATTAAGACAGCAAAGCTCTCCATGTGCACTCTGTGTACTTTGTTCTTAGCTCAGCAAAACGTGAGGGCAGGTCCAAGAATCTGGGGGATCAGACAGGCCTGACATTCACCAGACTGCACTGTTGCCTTTTAAAGTTAGAAAAAAAAAAAATAGAAGAATCTGAAAAAAAAAAACACCCAGAATAAGGGCTGGCTGGATTGAAGTTGGGTTTAATTGGTGGGTTTTGAGTGTGTTTGCGTGTCAGAAACTGCTGTTGTTTACAGTCTGTGTGGGTGTTGCAATATAACGCCAAGATCCTGCCAATCACATCAAAAACAAAAAAACAACAATGCTTGTTTTTTCACTTTTTTTTTCAATCGCTGACTTTTTAGTCTTTACGAGACTTAGCCATGTTTTTCATTTAATCAGTCCTTCTTAATAAAAGCCCAGAAGAAAAGAGGGAGAAAATAGTGTGCAGTCAGCCCTTTTAGCAGATCAGATCATACAGTGAGCAGCTGCATTTGTTGAGAAGTGAGTCATGCTTTAGATTTTCCTGTGTTTCAGAGCACAGACAGTGACTTGGAAAATCTCCTGTACACACCCTAAAAACAAACACCAGTGACCCTGTATATTGATATCACTGACTCTACACAACTAAAACTCTCCTACGCCCTCTTTTTTATTTACACAATGCTCTTAATACAGATCCACCAGCCTTGAGGAGTGTTGAACCAGTACCGCTGCTTTTTTTTTTTTTTTGGTGTGTGTTTTATTCAAACACACTGTTGGGCCCTGGCATGATAAATAGATACTGTAGATTTATTCAGATGCTGATACTAAGTGGTCCAAACATCCAGGATGGGCTGTAAAGAACCACGAGACAACTCTGGCAGCCTTCTATTGACAACCATTGAGTTGAGCATTAATTAATATGGTAATGATGTGTGAAGGTTCATTAACGAGCCGCCACAGAAGTAGCCACAGATACAGTATTAAGCGTGCTTAGAGTAATTAATGGAATAACTTTACTTAGTGGTAAATATTCATGGGCCCTCATCTTTTTGTCTGCACAGTGTGAAGAGAGAGGAGAGCCTGTCCATTAGAGGAGCTGAAGAGCTGTCCACAGTGAATGCAGGCCTTTTGTTGGGATTGGGTGCGTTTCAGTGGAGGGGTATTAATTCATATTTTGAACATGCAATCTTACAACAAAGCCAAAGGCACTGATAACATACCTGGGACTAGAGAGCATATTGTGAAGCCGCGACCCCTTCACAAATAGGGAAGTCCACTTCACAGGTTTGTGGACAGAATAAAATGAGTCTTTGTTCATGCTCAGATGTAACCACAGCAGTTCATTACCATAGCAAAAAACCCTTCTGATTGTCCATTTCCTCTGAAAATAGGGTGTTTGCGTGTTTTTTCCTCCACGGCTACAATGAAGCCTGTGGTATTTGCATACAGAATGGAAACATTTATGTGGATCATCTGGTCCTCTAAAGGTATCGGGCTAATGGTTAGGTTATCTATTGCACACAAGAGTCTTGTAACTACTGTGAGATATTTTTTTTTTTGTCAAAAGTCGTTTGTTGTCCTATTTTCTACTTTGTTTAACACAGCAGACCGACAATATCCTCTCAAGACTTTACAAGAGAAGCTTGCAAAGTACTCCCGAGTTTCCTTTGTCTTTCGAAATTGTTGCATTTTGATTCATATTCTTAGCTTAGGCCTCTGACTGAGCATGCACATAACCCACCTAGGTGGGTAATTATCTCAACCAGGAGTTGTTCTATTCCCTAAAATCTCAATGTGGGAGTGTGTGATGGGCTCGGTTTTCCCAACCGGGCGAACCAGCATGTGCTTGTTTATCCTCACCCTACGATCTCTGCACCCCCACTGTTCTAAATGGCAATATTACAGCCTTGTGCTGTTTGAAATGGAGACAATTATCTGTTTAGGTATTACAAGATGGGCATTATATTACAAGGAGAAAAGGCGTACAGCTGCTATCAGGATCCCGTTGTTGCCTTTTCTCTCCAATACAAATTTTCCTTCATTAAAATGATGGAACATTTATCTAAATGGATGTTATGCATTGGGTAAACTCATTTAGCTCCTGGGGCTCTTTCAGGTGATGGGAATTAATGATGTTTAGTAGTTTGAAACTGAAAATATCTGTCATTTGTCACCACTCGCCATTGAATTACGATTCCATTGATGATATGTTAATTGAAGTGTAATGAATCACAATAATAGGGTAGTTGTGTGGGAATGGTCCATTTTCGATGATTGTTCAACCCTCAGTAGAGTTCAGAGCGAGCTGCGTGTTGACTCGTGTTTTCAACAAGGGCATTTAACTCATAATTAATGCTGAAACTGGGCAAGTTGGGCCGCCGTGTTTTTATCTGTGTTCAGTCTGCTTTAGATATACACTTGTACAAATGCCCGGCCACAGTTTTGACTGCCAAATGTAAACGGCAAGAAAGAACAGTAGGAGAGGGAGTTGGAGCTTTTTTTTTTTTTTCCCTCCCCTTTCATATTTGGATATGCTTTAATGCTTTTATTCAAATTCACCTGAGATATTGCGCCACAGTCACTTCTCAGTTTACCATAAAAATAAGATTTTGTTTCCTTCTCTCTCTCTCTTTTTTTTTTTCATCTCTCTTTTCCTGGGTTGAGTGCTCAGTTAGGAAAGCCGTGCGCATGCAGATCAGGGCCACCCAGGGGAGTTGAGTCAGGGCAGAGCAGGTACAGATACAGTGTGTTCACCAGCAGGGGGGGCCAAGAAGGGCATCTCCTGTCAGTAATATGAAAAGTTTTTGTCTTGCAAATAAACCATTCACTCACAGACAGCCCCATTGTTCATTTGTTATCACCAGTGGGTGTAGTTGTAGTTAACAGACAGATGGAAATGCAAGGATGTGTCCGACGGTGACAATAGGAGGCTAAAGGAAGATCAACGAAAGGTGCCTTTTGCAATGGCTCTGAGCTGAAATGGTGGCTTTTCCTTTCCTAGCAGGCCGCGGTAGGTACACTGACTGGTACGGCTTCACACAAACAAAGGAAAAGCAAACAGCACAGGAATGCAGAGAATCGATTTCTTTCGGATGATTTCTCAGAAGATATAAGACTGTTTGTGCATGTTATCAATTCTAATCAATAGCAACTGGTGGGCGTATTATTGGTAGCGTTTAGTTTACACCACTGTACTCTGTGTTTCTGTCTTTTTTTTTTTTTGTAAATTGGCTTCCTGGATGCTGATGACAAGTATTATGATCAGCAGCGGTAATTATTTCATAACTAGAAATGATTTTACATTTTGTGTCTGCAGGGCGAGGAGGCTGTTTTACCATCGCTGGAACTGAAGATTGCTTTGAATAAGCAAGTTCGTGCAGAAGGTAAACACACAATCATTCACCAGACTCCGTGTGTGTGTGTGTGTGTGTGTGTGAATGCTCTATTGAATTGGCTTAATAATTAACTGAATGCAGTGTGGTTGTCTTGTTTGTGTACTGTATTTTGTGTGTGTACACGTGGGCAAGAGGGTGGGCAGGAGGCTAGACAGGTGTACCCTGTCAGTGTTTTGAGAAGCTGCTGATCTGAAACTAGCATGGTGAGTAGTAAAGAGACAGTTTTCCCTGGAGGTGATAATGGACTTAGGTTAGTTGCGTGATTAGAAGTTTTACAATACTTTAACCGTGTAAGAACTTGTGAAAAGCGAGAGCCATGTGCGCTGCTGCTGAGTTTGGAGAAGTTGGCTCAAATATGGTAATGCCATGTTTACCAAACAAGAAAGGGACGTTGCGGTACACACACTGTTATGGTTGGCATCTCAGCTTTTCTGCTTGATATCTCGTGTTGGCTCCTCGCGCCCGTCTCCCTATCTGAGAGCGTTTGAGGCCCCCCTTGGATGTGAACCTTCAGCCGGAGCGATCGGGTGAGGAGTAGTAGGACTTGAAGGGGGGGGAAGTGGCGTGTTTGTGTGGAAGGGAGGTGTTAACACTTCAGGAGCTCAGGGCTTCAGAGGAGGAGTGCGTCTGCTTTCCGTCTCGTACAAGTTTAACCTCACGTCATCTCTTTCTCTTATTCTCTTTGTCTGCGTTTTATCATTTCCTCTCTGTCTGTCTGTCTGTCCCTCCCTCTAGTAACATGTCGGGACTCGTAGGTAGATACACAGGACATGTGTAACTGTACATCTGAGCAGAGCTTTCTTTGTTAATATCTATTACAGAGCAACAGAGCTGTTATGAACAACAACATTTGACATGTAACTTGGCTTCACGAAATGTTTGATTTTGGTTTTGAAAGCATTGTTTGGTAGTTATTAAAATAAACAGCTGTGTGCCATTTAGAATTGGGGAAATCCTCATGTACAGTTATAAATTATAGCACAGCTTTTTATTGTTTGTATGGCAATATCCTCATTTTAGTAGTTCCATTAACTTATGCTAATAGATGATTTTTTGTTTTAGGTTGAAACAAAATGCTAAATTTAAACATTTTCTTCATACAAAAAATTGAAATTTACAACAGTTATATTTTTTGAAACAGCATTTAGTTAAACCCACAATAAAAATGTAATAGATTAATTTGCATTATTAAACCAGAATCTGTTTTAAAGCACTTATTGATGCATGATTCTCTTCCTTAATGTCAACTTGCTACAGATTTTGGAAAGTACACAAGAGCACCTTTAAGCGCCATCTTTACAGTTAGACTAGTTATATTTCATGTTATAGTAAGAGGAGGTCCTCGTCACCCCAGCATGTTAAACAGTCTCTCATTGGGTTCAGGCATTCACCCCTTTACATTTAGAAAACAGAGCCTCGAAGAAAATGGAAGCGGAGAATTCAGTGTTGCTGCAGTTTATCTGGAGTGCATTCTCCACATACTCAGGTCCACTCCAGCAGGCCCCTCAGCTGCCTGCTCCAGATGTAAGATCAGCCCTGAAATCTTCCAAATGGTTGTGTAATTAATGTTAATGTGGCAAAATCAGCTTAATTATTGACATAAGCTTCCAATGTGATTTTGATTGCATCACTAATGCAGAAATCCCTGTGGCAGCTTATGGGATTAATATGTCTTGGTGTTTAAAGCTCTTTTAAAGAGCAATAGAGTCAAATAAGGCGAGTGCGTGAAAAGCATGTACGGCGCTCATTTCTCCCTACGTTTCGACCAACCGTACTTTTGAAGACATTCATGGTTAATTCTATGCAAATTCGATTATAGGAATTTAAAACGCAGGCTTGAAGCAGTCAGACAAAAGTTCCGATGTAGGAATCTGGAATGTTTATCATCATCATATGGGCATTTCTACGCAATAGGGCCGCCTCTGATGTGGTCGATTTATTCCGACCTGATGACATCCAGCTTTCCAGAAAAAGAGAAATTCTCAAATGCCCAAAACATGCTGCTCTGTATTAGGGGGGCTTCAAAATATTATTGTCTCGTGTTGGACTTCATTTGAATTTCATGAATCCATGTAAAGGAGAAAAGAACACTTTGTGCAAACATGCAGTTTGTTGTATTTCTCCCTTTGCTGTAAATGCTGCGGCTTGTATTGCTTTCGTTTTAGCCGTTGAAGTTTCTTTGTTTAATCTACTTTTTATGGGAGTGTTAAGAATAAACAAATGGATTCATGAGTTGGACTCACAGAAAGGTCGTGTTCAGATTTATGCTGGGATGAAAATAGGGCCTCTGTAATAGTTCCCTTGACTGCATTTATTGCTTACTTTAAAAAAGTAATTTCTTTATATCAGCATCAAGCTGAAAATTGCCATGTATTAGTATTAGGCTTGGTAAGCTTCTAATTCTGTGGCATTTACAGCCGGCTGTGTTTCCATGCATTTATAACACTTTGATTCTTAAGAGCTCCTTTAATCGCTTATGCCTTGCTTGGAACATAATAAACAACTCGCTGTAGCGAAAGTGCCACATGGGGGAGATTTCTAGCAAGAAAGTTAAACGCTTCTGTCACTGGCAGTTTTGTTGCTGTGTTTTTCATGCACTGTAAGTACCGTAATCTACTCTCCGAGCTTATCTGCGGTAGTTAAAAACAGTGACAGGCAGAATAGATGCAAGGCAGCGTGAAAATGAAAAATTATCGTCCCTACAAAGACGTCACAATAGAAACCAAGGCACAGACATAACGCGACGGTGTGCCTGTGTCTTTTCCTGTTGATTGAGATCGCAGGATGTGTCAAAGCCTTCTAAACACCCTCACTGGCCACCGTCTGCTTTCCCTATCTGATGCTCTGCTCCCATGGCTGCATCAGCTGCTATCTGAACACACTCTGGCAGATTGCCCGCCTCTGTATTGTCCGACTAAACAGGTTGCACAGTTAGATGCATGCCTTATGCTGAATACAGAATGTTACACGGTGGCACAACATTCTTATATTCTCGTGCTTCTCTTATACCTCTCGTGCGAATTATCTTCTTTTACGAGGTAGATGCTGATAACGTTATCGCAGATGTGTGATCTTAAAGCTACTTAAAATGTCTTCTTTTTTTTTTTTGAGGAAATGCATCTGACAAGTTTCAATCTATTTTTCTATCAGCATCAAACAGACATGTCTTCTTTTGGTCTGAAACATACTGATGGATGTACACACTCTGGACTCGCTCACAGAGTGAGGAGCTCTGATAATGTCAGTCGGCTACCAGGTGCAGATGGCTAACGCGACAGAGTTTTCGGGAGAGATTGACTGAGGCGACAAAAGTAAGCAAATTCCGGCTGCAGATGTGTCGTCTTACAGCAAGATGAAAAGAAAATCACAAACCCAAGAGGAAAAAAAAAAAGTGCAAAGGCTTTCTTTTTCAGCTTGGGCTTCAGAAAATATGAAATAGAACTAATAAATGGGATTGGCTTGTTGTCCTCTGAGCAACATGACTACACAGAGGTTTTTTGTGCAAACCTGGGGAAGCAGACAGACTGGCTTTCCAACAAAACAATACACTGTTCTGCAGCTGGTATCTGACATTGCCTAACATATAGACATACATTGCATATTTATAATTTAGGATGCAGTCAAAGGTTTCTCGTTGGTTTGCGCCACAACTAGTGAAGGTCTGTGACTATGTAAGGAAATTCCAAAAAGTTCCTACAAGCCGCAGTGATTCTTATTTGGATAGTTTTGACTTTGTTGCACTCACTTCATGTCATGGTAAATATCACTTTGGCAGTCCTTTGCTTTTCTCCGTTTATTTTAGAAAACAAATCCCTTTTAGGGATAAAGCACCTGGTGGGGCTACTTAATGGAATGGCTTCAGCTCTACGCAAATAAACAGCTTGCATTTTTGGTGCGAGATTAGGAATGAGGCTGAGGGAGAGAGAGCGAGAGAGAGAGAGAGCGAGAGAGGTGGGTAAAAACCAAACAATAAAAGTCAACATGTGGAGAGGACAGAAGTGGAGGAGGTGCACGTCTGCTTCGACTTCCTACTATAGCTGACAGTATGTACAGTATGGCTGTACAAACGCATGTGATCACCGGCAGCCTGTGAGCTTTGGACCTTTGTAACTTTATGTTGTTTTTTTTCCACTTTATGCTGAGGTAGAGCTCTTTTTTTTTTTTTTTTTTTTTAAATGTCTGACCAGTGAGTCAGCGGTAGTTATTCAAAAGAGCTGGAAAATATTGGAGGCTTTGTTTTCCTCACTTGCACGTACACAAACATGCGGTCATGGCTTTTCTTAACCTGGAAAAAGATAGCGTGATAAACAGAGCCAATGAAAAGTGAGTGAACAGGGAGGAGGAAAAGTGACCGGTGAAACATAAACAAAAAACGAGGACTACATCTTTTAAATAGATCAAAATGCCTTTGAAAATGGAGCCTTTGAATTCAGTTGTATAAAAAAAATTATTTCATTCATCGTCACGTTTGCCACCCTGCTCCGATTCACTTTACATATTGGTAGCAACCTCTCACGTGCTTCGTTGTCTAGATGATGTTAAAATAATACTGAGTAAGAATTAAATGTGCAGGTTTATTTTCCTTGAAAATACTTGAATTTCCTGAAAATTCTACATATGAAAATTGCCATCCACACTCAGTCTCAGTGGTGCATTAGAATGCCTTCTACATAAGTATACAAGAGATATATGTAATAGCTAACGTTTTTGCAATCTAGAGACTTTTTCTGGCGACTAAGTGGTAAAGTAAGATGAATCAGTGAATCACAGTGACGTATGGTTCCAGAGGCAGGGCCAAGAGGAGGCTCGAGGTGGCCACCACTCCACCCAGCCGGTAGTGAAGTCTGGTGAAGGGGTTCGCACATACTCATAGAAGTGGAGTTATATCCAAACCTGATGTAATTTATATAAATTGTAATATCAACAGTTAAAAACACACACACTCAAAAAAATAAAAACACAAGATACCAGTTTTTATGCCAACTTTA